TGCTTAGTCTCTCTGGTGGCAGGCACATGGAGGGAAACAACGTCGCATTTAAAAATTGAGGGCACTACACCAAGACGTCAGACACACCGACCCGTCATAGCCTCAACTCACATCATAAAGTGGTTCTGCCCCCAGGTCCGCGATTTGATCTGGAGTGAGAAAAGGGTCATAAGCATAAATCTGCAGCATACAAATCCACCACAAGGGCCCATCAAGGCTACCCTACGTCCATGCCAAAGCCTTGGGCTGCCAGAATCACGAATCGCGACACGTTGCCACAGCCGTACAATCCAAGACTGCTTCCTCTAATCTCTGTTCCAGAGTTGCCTAAGTTCATAAATATCACACCCGCCTATGCCACGTCAAGTACCGTCGAAATAATTCCTCTTATGCGCTAGAAGCATGCCAAAGACCAACTCCGCAACCGCATTAGAATTCTGTCCCGGAGTGTTCTGGACGCAAACTCCTAAACCAACAACACAAGAAAATTCTAAGCTCTACCTATAAAGGTTCAACTCACCGTGATTTGTGGCTGCTGGCAGGTCTATTGCGTCCACACCCGCACCAGCGCGTACCAGAACTTTCAAGTTCTTAGCATGGGAGAAAAATTCTTCGTCGCAAACATCACTGCGAACAATGCAGGCTTCGGCTGTGGCCACTGCCTCGTACAGCTCAGCTCGATCCTTATACCTTAACCAATTTGAAAATAACACCACCGCTCCCACGAGCGGCGCCCTTACCCTTCCAACTTCTCGAATACAAGACCATGCTCTTCACATATAGTCTTGATAGCGCCTACAGCGTCCCTCGCAAAGGGTTTCGTAGTAGCCAGAAGCACTGTATGGGGAGTCATGAACACCACCAACAGTAAAGCTGCTAAAAACAAAATCCAATAGACATAAGACGCGACGCCTAGGTCTCAGTGAAGAGGGGAGCTGCAGTGTATTCATTGATGTGGCTTGAATGGTATTCTAGTGAGTTACTCTCTGTCCCCCATTGGCGACGTCCTTCGCTTGCTGCTTCACACGACGGAGGTACCTACACACCACGCAAGAGGTCCCGAGTTCGATTCCCAGCCAGGACATACTCCTCTTTATTCTGTGTAAAAAGCTGGAAGGGCTCCGCCTGAGCAGGACTAGCCGAGTTGGGATTGTCCAGAAGGTCTTGGACGCCCAACAAGATCTGCTTAATCGTAATGGACGGCTTCCAGTCCTCATCCTCGTTGAGAATACTAAACAACGATGATAGACACCTAGTGCAGGGCGAAGACGACTCACCTTAGACACACTGTTCCAGATGGGTATATATTTGGATGGAAGAGTACCTTCCCATTCACAAACACGAACTTGCACTTGGGCGGTTTGCCAGGGTAATCTTCAGAGAAGTCCATCGTTAATTTGTATCTGATTTACGCATATCCTTCTCCCCCCCAAGCCCGTGTCAAAACCCGAGACGGCTCAACTTTCCGATACGAATCTATCATCGATCCGAACTTACGTCGCACCTTCCCATGGCGTTCCAGCTCGACCAGGAATACCACAAATCCATCGAAAAAGGTTCTGACCTGCACCACGGGGATGTTCATACCACACCTTGTCGTATTCCACTACCTTTCCCATCAGGATTAGCCATGGGCTTAGCCGAGAACCCAAATGGATGATCTTTCCGCCACTCAGCTCTCTCCTTCTGAAGCCTTCGCGATGCAAAGGATGCCATGAGTTCCAAGGACGACAGATAGCAGTACCGGATTGAACGGACTCCAAATAACGCCACTACTCTAGAAACTTGTGAACAACGATCATTATGATACAACAACATGATTACCACAACTTGCCATAATCAATGCTCAACATAGAGGAAATCCACCAAAGGGTGAAGGGCTCGAGAGAGGAGGCTATCCCCTATGTGGGAGTCCAGAACATAAACGACACAGCACTACTACTACTACTACTACTACTACTACTACTACTACTACTACTACTACTACTTCTACTACTACTACTACTACTACTACTACTACTACTACTACTACTACTACTACTACTACTACTACTACTACTACTACTACTACTACTACTACTACTACTACTACTACCACCACTACTACTACATGACCGTGGTGGGTCCGTGGTCATGCTGGTCATTGGCTGAATGAACTAAGTGACCTGCATGCAGGACGTGGGGCCCGGAACGGACGCGATACTATCTATTACGAAGTTGAAAGACCGGCATCTTTCACAAAAGCGCAGCTGTTACACTTCTCTCACGTGCACATGGAGGAGAAGTGGAGATGTCAGAGAAGGCAGTTAGCCGTAAACAGACTCGTGCTCGGGCTTGGCCGCAAACAACTATCCTCTATAGTTAAAAGATGTATTGGATGGAAAATCGGGGATCGACGGCGTTTGTTCGAACTCCTCACCTTCCACAGCAGCACGAAGGGCTATCTTCGACATCTTTCAGCCGATATCACGGATTGGAAATATCGCTACTGTCGGTCTCATGAAGAGGATTTACCACACTTCTTCTGGTGCCCCTCGAGGATGATGTGTACACTCAGAAAGAAAATCTGGGGCGCGGATCCACTCCTGTCAGCACTAGCAGGAGAGAGGCCTCAACGCGGGCTCACCCTGATCCGTGGGGCCTTTACGGCGACACGAGAGAGTGGTCTCCACGCAGTGAGGAGATTCTTGAGGGCGAGTGCACCGGCTTGGAGCAGTACCTCCGAAGCTGCCAAGCATCGGTAACGGACTCGCGGTGTCGTTGTGGCACTGAGTGTCCTCTTAGAGGAGTCCTCTAAGCAGGACACAGGAGCAATACGGCCATACTGTGTACACAGGAGATGCCGTGCTCCCGGACCAAACCAAACCAAACCAAACTACTACTACTACTACTACTACTACTACTACTACTACTACTACTACCGAGCCGTGGACAACATCGTTATAGTCTTTCTAAACCGGAAAAGTGCTCTCTTTCTTATCTCAACTGCTACCCTAACTTCGCTATCAAACGAAGATTCATCCCGCGGAGCGATTCACTCACCCTGTGTTCAACCGCAGGCCTTATGATACCGAGTGATGAAGCATGATCGGCGACCATCATATAGAGGACAAGGACAGGCCTGGCGAACAACAACTAAACAAATGATCCCAGCGCAGTAGCACAACTCTTGAATTCATAGTAGAGTAGACGTTGTACAAGCAGATGCGGAAGAAACATAGATAGCAATAGGGGTAGTAGTTTCGAACAGAGATGGCTTATGCCTGACTCGTTAATCCTCACTAAACAGACATAGACGCAGTTCTTTCGAGTTTGGAAAAGTGTATACAACATGAACCATACGATGTGATGATATACAGGGCAGTTCAGGCGTAGGTGAAGAATCATCATTTTTCTTGTCCTCGTGGTACACGAGGTGGATGCCTAATCGCACGGAGCGACGACCGCGAGCTTTGGCGGAGCAGGCCCAACCGGCTCCGACGCCACCGACACGCTGGCGCTCCTTATGTTGGAGAGTCTAGACTCGATCCATTGCACTAGGAGACTTATCGCAACCTAGAAGAGGACAAGAATAACATCATCAATAATTGTGCAACGACAGATGCCTACGTCGTTCACCGCTGCGTGAGGCACTATAATGTCCGCATTACGGGCAGACGGCTGAATGAACGTCTCAAACGCTGGCTTCACGAATCTGACAAGTTGAAGAGATACCCAGGTTCTGAATAGAGCGATCGAAAAGGGAACAACAGGTCTCCATTTCAGCAACTTTCCAGATAAGACCCTCTGAGCATCGTCCCAACACAACCTACGAATATTCTTACGCTTCATATTGGGTCAAAGTGGCATCAACTGAAATGCCCCTCTCTCCACAATCACGCTTGATTCGTCGCACCAGGCACAGATCTGCATCCTCTTGTGTGAAAACTTTCATGTCTAGCACCTATTCAAGAGCCTCTAGCGTCTACCCCTGAGACGCCCATAACTACTACATCTGCGAGCTCGGGTACATAAAGAGCGAAAATGCCCTCGACTATAATAACGTCCACTTTGGCTCCATGAATGACTGTGGCGTTGTCTGTTCGCGTATGAGAGACAAAGTCGTACTCGGGAACACTACCAAGGCGGAGACTTCAACTCGAGGGTAAATTCTGGAGTACTTACTAGACCACTGGCTCCTTCCTTTTCAAGGCCAGGAGATGCTCGCGCTGTAAGATACCGAGGATATCTAAATAATAATTAACCTATTTCAGCCTATTGTCCAGTAGTACCTTCTGTGTGCGTTATTCATATCTTTCATTGTATCCTTCGCTCGCCATTGGATACTTGTAACCGCCACGAAGCATGCTGGACAATCCCAAGATAGATTTGGGAGTATTATACTCATTATTCCCTAATCGACTGGTATTGAGTTGGTCTACTTCGACACCGGTGAATCTAACATGGTAACAGCTGTAGAACTGAACTCCTCCATCAACGCCGCCTCTACTCGAGAAGATCTTTCCCGGCTACGGTCAACGGCACGTCGTCTTCGGACCAACAATTGTAAAAAGCGCACCGAAATTCAGGAGCGTTTGGCTGACAACGACATTGATGACAACAAGTTGGCGCTATTGGAGACTGAGGAAGCTACGTTAGAAGCAGAGATCATCGCACTCTCTGGCGCCGCTGACAATGCTTCCAGCAAGATCAATGCGTTAATGCGAGAGACCTGCATGGTGAACTCGGCCACTCTATCAGCGGACGACTCCAACAACAACGCCACCGCAACGCCAACCTCTGCTGAGTCAGTTTCTGGTCTAGTCAGAGCCCTATCTTCGGCACTCAGTCGTCGGCCTTACGACTCAAGAACCAAACGAGCCGATATTAATCGTCTCCCTATGCAGGGTCGAAGTCTTATCGATCCCTACCAGCTTCCAGCCCACTTCAGACGATTGGAGAAATGGTTTGCCAGCAACGAGTTTGGTACTTTTGACGACTCGACTAAGGCCTTCGTTGCCGATAAGGAGGTGGAAGCTCAGTTGGTTGAGAAGGCTATAGAGAGTCTCTCCTCTCATCGTAATGTCGCCTCTGAGGCGAACACTTTGGTTGATACCTATGGTGCTACTTGGAACCATCTCAAGAACACGCTCATCGACAAGTTTGCAAAGCCCGAAGACATCCGTCGTGAGCTCAACCGTAAGATATCCCAGCTCACATACAAGGGCCACTCTAATGTCGATGGGTTCATTTCTGAGTTGCGTCAGATCCACACATTGGCGTCTACCGTCAACTCCTCGCCTGAGGACAGTGTTTACTTCATCGACGACATTCTTCGGTGTCTCCCACCTAATGTCCACTCACAACTAGTTCAAGAAATTAATCAAACGGCCAGGATATGTCGACACAACAGCTCCTCGACTTCGAGTCCTACCACTAAACCATGGCAGCTCAAGCTACCCCTAGATGCTCCGTCCGATCAGCACTCTATTTTTGGTATTCTCTCGGACGTGGCACAGTCCCTCTTGGCGTCGACTGACTTTCGAAAGGTGCCACCTGAATCTAACCGTGGCTCTCGTCGAGAGGACATGAGAGACAAGATCTCCAAAGTTAGCGACTCTACTACCAACAGTACCAGAGCACCACCTAGTGCGATAACTGAAGCTCGTCGCCAACACAAGGAGGCCAATGACTGGGCGCGGAAACAGAATTTTGTCATCATCGTCATGGGGAAGGCTCTACGTTCATCCACTCCTACCGACCCAGGTTTCAACAACGCCTCTGACGTGCGATTTCTGGTTTCCCGCCAAGGGAAGCGGTACGGCCTGGTCGCGTTTGACTCCAAAGCGGACGCTGAGAAAGTCATAGCCGAATACTTTTCGAACAAGGACTCATTCACTCTGGTCAAGCCATATGACCCTGACTTCAAGTCAAAAAACGACTCCGGGCGTCGCAGTCAGTAGGCGACTGTCGATTGCCCGTATTATCTATGCCTACTTCTACTGCTCCCTCAGCTAACGCTGTGGGAGCAAACTCTTCCGACCATCTATCACACGATTTGATCGACGACTATGTTGCTGCCGTCGACGAAGGTCGTCATCATCCTGAGATATCTTTCGGCTTATCGCTCTCTCAACCTCACCGTTCAGAGACCAACGCTGACCTACGAGTCCGAGGAGTGCTCGATACCGGTGCTACCAGCTCGTATATCGTGGTGCCAGAGTCGTTCATACTGGCATTTCAGACAGATCCTCTCCATCAGCCAGTTGCAGTGACCCTAGCTAACGGAAGTCAGGTCAACATCAACACAAGTATTCCCTGCTCAATCATGGTTCGGGATATACGCTCTGGTGAGTACTTCAATGCTGGCCATCATACTCTCCGTGTGTTAAACTGCCGTGAGCGACTTCATCGGCCCTATTGTCTCATTGGTAGAGATTTGATCAAGGCTTGGTGTCTCGTATGCGTTGGCCTCGACTCCGTTACCCTGTCTGGTCGTTTGGTATATGAGGCTACTCCTGTATCGACACAACTACCGGCTGCGCCCTCCCTCGCTACCATCTATCTGGTGGACGACACTGACCCGAAGTCATTGGTATCACTACCCCCGGTGGTAGCTCCCCCTGATCCTCCTACTCAACTATGTAATCAAGACAAAAAACTCGCTCTCGATATTCTCCAAGCACTGGTTGCCAAAGGATGGCGTGATCTTCCTCTGTCGAGGGGTTATCGCTGTCGTATCCGAGAACTGTGCCCGGTCGAGCACCTAGACTCTCCACATCAAACACATGTTGGTGAACTGTTTTTACCCGCGTCAACTCTATCGACAAGGCCATCACTCAGGAACTTCGCCACTCCTCTCTTCAAGCGACTGTCTCCTGACCTCAAGGTCGCCTATAACTCGATGATAGAAGACTACGTCACCAAGAAGTGGTGGGTATCGGCCCCAGCGACTACGACTGTCAGCCCCACCCCAGCTGCCAATGTTTTCCTGATCAATGGTTCCAAGCGACCAAGGCTCGTTTGTGATTTGCGAGCTTGCAATGCTGCTCTACCTCGCGCTAGCTCGCGCAACCCGGACTTGTGGAAAGTACTGTCTATCATCCGCTTGACTGGTCCATCAATAATCGTTGGAGCCGACATATCTTCGGCGTTCTACGCCATCAGAATCAGTGCGGAGTCTGGCACTACCCACTTCGTGCTGCACACAGCGCTTGGCACCTTTTGGTCTACAAGGTCATTGTTTGGAACAAGTATAGGTCCCAGCTCTCTGAGTGGCACACTAGGATCGAGTGTCGAGGCTGTCAAGAACTGCTCATCTGTTTTGCAGTCACCGTCAGTGGTTTCGGTGGTCTCGAATCATAGCGATCATGGAGATACGCACACTCGTTACCCTGTCGACCTCACCTCCAACCTCCAGTATTTTGCTGATGATATCGTCTGCTCCGGCTTCATCTGCACAATTATCCTCCACCTCATGGCTATCTTATTACAGGTCTTGGTCTTTCTGGCGTTTAACTGCCAGCCCAAGAAGTGTGCCATTTTGACGACTGAGGACAATCGTCAGGAGGCCGAGAAGACATGTAAGCAGTTTGGCCTACTCTTCCCTATAGCTGAAGTTATTGGAGTGCTGGGCGTGGTCTTCTCCTATACAGCAATCTGTGGTGGTCTTCCAGCACGACTATGTATGAGCTGTGATGCGGCTTCTCGCATGGCGAAAGCTATGGACTTCCTGAAGAAAGATCCGGTGTTGGCTCAGCGACCTAGTAAGATCGATATTTTCGCGGTCGGTGGTAAGCTTAGCTTCGACCAGGGACGGGTCCATGGAGAACGAAGGCTCATCAGTGATCTCTTGAAGGTCATTATTGCTAGGAATTTCCCTAGCTCTCCTTGGCACCAGCACTGTGACTTGACGACTATGCCTTCGACCGAGCAACAGGCCTACGAAGCGGTGGTGCTGTGGGCAAGAGAGGTCTGTGAATCGTCTTCGTCATGTCGTCATCTATCCCCTCTTCGTTCTAAGGGGCAATCTGAGGTCACCATTATCGTTGAGACCGATGCTTCGCTCTATGGCGGCGCTACGGTGGTAAGGATAGACGACGACATTATCCTTCAAGATGTGTATCGTTTCTCGGCTCGGCAAATCTCCTATTCATCGAATAGGAGAGAGCTACTGATGTGCTTACAAGGCATTCGTAGAGCGGCTGAGTTGATATCCTACCATCGTACCACTCTCACAGCCCTCACGAAATGCTCACACCTCATCTTTAATGTCGACTTCCGTACCGACAACAAGTCTAGTTGTAGCTGGCTGTCCAATGATGAGGCTGTACTGAAGCTACAGAGCTCGAAGATTCTTGAGCGACGCGCCATCATACGACTCATTGACTCTATCTCAGAGGAGCTTAAGGTCATCAGGCAGTATGGTCGGTTGTCGCTATCACACTTGGCGGGTGCTACTAACCACTATGCTGACTCAGCCAGCCGGTTGTTGGACCGGCCTGTCAAGACGGGCACGACAACCACTAGATTGGGTGAGCTTTTGGCTGCCTATAAGAAGTCTGATAACCTCAAGCCATCACAGTTGATGGGGTCCGACAAAGGCGAGTGTGCCGGAGAGCATTGCTGCTGGGCGGGGTCTATCTCTCACGATGAAATACGGCTCATGGTCAACGCCGCGTCTGCACCAGCTATGTCCCTTCGAGAGGATCTCCCAAGCATCTCCCACGAAGACCTGGAAGAGCAAGAGAGGGACTTAGAAGGTGACTTTGACTCCTGCTGCTGTCTGATAGAAGATGATGACCCTACCGGAGGTATAGCAGCTTATGATCGTCAACCATTCTCTATGATAGCGTCTATAACCTCCGGCTCAGATGACTTTTGTGAGGATGTTTGTCGTGCCGTTGATTGCGTCCTTGCAATCCGTGATGACCTCGGTCAGAACCCCCCAGCGCCTCACCCAACGGCAGAGCCATTGATCGAAGCAATTGCCCGTGATTCATGGGATGTCGACTCCGTACTAGACCGAGTCCATATACTGCGATTGGTTCTCTCTGTCCTGCGGTCTAATGCTCAAGCTCCTAATGCCACTGTCCTGGAGTGCGAATGGAACCAAGCTTGGAATCAAGAGGATGTCTTATGCGCTGCTCACTCAGCACAGTTCAACTTGGTTAACGGTAAATCTCTACACGATATCAAGACCAACAAAGGATGCTCCTGGGATGTTATCGACCCAACTGCCCTCTCCAAAGTCTTAGCCTACCGATGTGGACTGCCGACCGGAGAGGTGGTGCTGATAGATTTGGGAGTATTATACTCATTATTCCCTAATCGACTGGTATTGAGTTGGTCTACTTCGACACCGGTGAATCTAACACGCATAAGCGCAAAGTCTAGCCGATTCGGATCATCGAAGTTGAAGTCACCCTGAGAACCATCCATGGTAACACAGTGAGAAAAGCCTCCTACTTTCAATGCCACTTCGTGATCGGCTCTAGACAAAGTCCTGTAGTACTGGTCGGTCGAGAAGGTCACCGTACGCGTCTGAGGAGAGCAGATGGTACTCGAGGGTTGTCATTCACAGTACTTTCTTAACGCCTAGTCTCCGCATTATCTCGGCACAAAGACTGGTCTTGCCAGCGGCTGAGGCACCAGCCACACCAATGACGAAAGACTCTGGAAAAGAGACATTCGGGAACTGTGACGGTGTTGAGGACAACGACTCTACTGATGCAGGGGAGCCACCTGCGTATTCACGACTATAACGGTGGACTACTGTGAGGAAGAGGAAGTCCCCCTTCTTACCGCTGGCATCCCTAGTAGTATCACTCGACGAGGCCGTGGTAGAGTTCTCCTCCACACCATCGAGCATTGGCATCACAGCCTAAGGTAATGGTCCTAGTATGATATTTGGAATCCTCCTTACCTCTGGCAATTCGAGAGACTCGGCGCCATCGAAAACGGGGGCGTTGGCGCTTATTTGCTTTATAGTGCTGCCTGGAGAGGCGACAGGTTGACGACTAGGAGAGAGAAGAATGGAAGAGGCACCGCTCATAGTCAATCACTGACGATACTTCAAACTGCTTCTGGTACGTCCGAACAATAAAAACCCGACATACAAATCGATCATCATGGCGCGCGCGAGTGACATTCTTCTCTAGGGTCAGTACTACACTTCTTTGGCAGAATACGTCCTTGCTTCAGCCTTTTTTATTGCAGCCATTCGAACGATAGATATGCCTTCAACACCACCACATGAACCGAGATCGGGTGATAACCTCTCCGATGACCCTCTGGGCGAAGCTAGTTTTACTCCGCAACACGTGATATGCGTGAACCCACTGTGCAGGAGGAAGTGGAAGCAGTTGACTCCCAAGAGCATCCCTATGTTCTGTCCGAGCTGTAAGAAAGCTTCTGAGCTAGGCCTTTGGGAGACCTGGGAGGGCGTCGTCACTGACGACACTTTTTATTATAATCTGCTGAAGTACTGGTATGCTATTTACACGGACATCGCATCGACCTTGGGATACGCCAAGAGCACCGACCTCAACCTACCGCAAGACCCAACGGATGTCACCATAGTCAACGTGATGGACTTCTACTACGAAGCGTTTCCGGAGCACCCAGTTCCCGAAGACGTCCGAAACTGGAGCTCCATGGGCCAGCGGAAGAAACAACTGACTGGCACCATCATAAGGCAGTGCGGTAGGCTACTCTGGGAACTCACTGTATTGGAGGATCCACAGCATTTTTATGGTAATAGCAATATATCCTACTGGGGAGGCTCAGCGGGGCGCGACTCAGGCGGTCTTCAACGTCACCACGATATGGCCGGTCGCCGTTTTTATATCATCGATTGGAGAGGAGCTCTCAAAATTGGTGACCATGTCCAGTTCGTCGCATTCCCGAATCCTTCTGTGGACGAGCGTAATAAACTACCCCACGTGATCAAAGTAGGGCCGGTCTCGACGCGTCCTGTGGACACCGTATCGACACTCTTGGTCAGGTTCTAGACGATCGTGTCAATCCTCCCCACCACCGAGCAGACCAGGGCTGGGAGGCGGCCAGAAGGTATCCAGGTGAACAGCCACAACCCCAAGTGCTGACCAGCAATGGGACGTAAGTCATCGGTTTGGTCACTTTCTTTCGCCGTTCACGTCGGGCCTTCAGGCATAAGAAAAGCTTCGATCCCTTGTACACATCAGCGGCCCCGTCGCACCGGGACCAACGTCAATCTGAGTCTGGCCCGAGAGGATTCCCACAATGTCTGTCTAGTGGGCTCCAGGACAACCGGAGACCCTTTGGGGGCAATTCTAATGGCAATGCTACTGGGCTCAACCAAATGGCCTCTACGACGGACCAGCTTCACTCTAAGTCTGGCCCCGCACGGAACACAGTTGTTAGCTCCGGAGGTCACCCCCTTAGGAGGAAGAGCAAAGGTAATAGAAACGTCACCTGCTGGATATCCGATGCCGACTTTGCTCAGATACCAATATGAGACCTCCGGCAGATAGAGTTACCGCGGCATCAGCCAGCACTAACGGCAAGTCCCCCGCGGACCAGATGGAGAGCAAGTTTCCCCCAATGGTCGGGTCGATGGTTGCCCCTCTACCGGGCTTCGATGACACCAATGCCGCCTGGAGTGAATTAGCTCGGCTTCTATCTGTTGCTGCCAACAAGGAGGTTCCTCGTACTCCTCAAGCCCCGACCCTTGAGCCCAAGATACCAGAGTGGACTACGGTCCGTGCCCCTGCCCCAAGCCCTGCCTTGCCTGCTAGGCCCGATTGGATACCGGACACTCCAGCCAGCCCTCTGTATCTCCATCGAGACATGAACTTCAGGCAGGCCCCCAACCCTCTTGTCCAGTTCCTGCAAATGCAAGCTGCAGCTGGGGCTGCCAGCCAGGTACCCTCGGCTCCTCCTCTGCCCTATGGGTCTGGCCAGGGCGACTCTAATTCTATGGTGTCACCGTTTACCCCCACGGGTGGCGTGCCGCCGGTATCGGCAGCCGCAGCAGTGGGTCTGGACGGTGACTTGGCTGGGCTGGCCGCCTGGGGAGCATCGTGGCCATCTTCTGGTATGATGAAACGACACAGCACGAGTCAGCCTCCCACCCCCATCCAAGAGGAAACGGTTGGTGAAGGAGGAGAATTCTTTGCGCCCCCTTCGACCGGCCAAAACCGTGTCGTGTATTAATAGCAAATATTATAGTAGCAGTCGGAATGGCCGTATTTTGGTTCCGATGAGGTTTATCAGTGAGATGTGTCCTTCGTGCCCTTATTGAGTCCCTCGGTAAAGTCGTCGCCTTCTGTCATCGGCTTCTACGTTGAGAAGCCTGTATTGGCATTGCCCTGTTGCTAGGCGAGAACATTATCTCGATGAGTCGTTATCCAGGGAGAGGGGGGGCCTTTGAGGTCTCTGGCCCTAGTCACTCCTGTTTTTACTATTATCACGCAGCTCATCCAGTTTTGTTGCTCCGACCTATCCGGCTTCAGCTCTCCCTTCTCCCACTACTACTACACTAGGGGAGTAGGTCTTGGTCCCCAGCTGCAACTAGCGGCTATTGTGCTCATCAGACCTTGTATGGTCTTCGTGACGAAGGTAGGGCATGGTTCCCCGTCTAACTGATATGGTGGGCGTCTACCGTCGAGTCTAGTCTTGTTGTTTTGGCATTGATGGCCGCATTGCTGTTCTTCTATCGCATCATACTTCTCACAGGCCTTTCCCGTAGCAATCAGCTCCACCCATGTTTTGTTCTGGCGAGCTGGCTCATTGGGGTCTCTTACAGCTTCGGCCTTCCTCTATGGGTTCGTCGACTCGGTCCCGGTCGAGGTCCCCCGCAGGCACCACCACTACTGAGAGCACTGTCCCTCGGGGTGAGGGCCGGGCTCGGAGTCCGTCCAGCGACGACGTGGTCCTCCGCCCCTCGACGCGTCATACTCGTCGGAGGTCTCGTAGTCGTGATGCTGGGGTAAGTCGGCGTCGGAGCTCTACGGAAGAGGTAGGGCTGATAGAGGTCGGCGATTGTGTTAATCACTGTTGTTGTTGCTCAGCATTACTACCGCGAGGGTGGCAGTAGCAGTTCTCGTCGGAATCGGTATGGCTCGAGGGAGCCTCGGGGGTCCTCTCCTTCAAGGGGATACTCCTCTTATTTTGACGATAGACGCGGGAGGCGGGACAGTGATGGCCATCGAAGACGTGACAACGACGATTATAGGAGGCGGGACAAGGACGATTATAGGAGGCGGGATCAGGACGATTATAGGAGGCGGGATCAGGACGATTATAGGAGGCGGGACAAGGACGATTATAGGAGGCGTAACGATGACGATTATAGGAGGCGGGACGATGACGATTATAGGAGGCGTAACGACGACGATTATAGGAGGCGTGACGACGACGATTATAGGAGGCGTGATACTGCCGATCATAGGTCGAGGTGAGGCCTGGTATCATTCTTCTCCCTGGAGGCTGATAGCTGTTTCTCTTTCTTCAGACGCCGAGAAGACCGTTCTGATCGTCCAGCTGGCGGAGGTGGCGGCTCCTACTATGACGTCCGCTCCTCCCGAGATCCCCCAGACGGCTCTTCTTCACTCCACTACGTAAACAGCAGCTCTCGAGGGAGCGGTCAAGATGCTCCTCGGCCTGCTAAACAGGATGAGACCCGTGGCCGCATAGTTGACGACCAAGCCCTTCGTCCACGTGAAGATAGCCTGTCTCGACACCCAAAGCCAAGCAGTCAGCATGATCCTCCCGAGGACTCGCCTGACAGTCTTCCGCGAGAGGCCAAGGCTCGAAGCGTCGTCCCTCCCCGCAAGGGGAAACCTGTTGTCCAGTTCGGCAAGGCTATGCGGCCAGACCCGCGGGCCGCAGCTGACAGAGGTAACGTCTTGGAGCTCAGTTGCGACTGTCCACGGAAGTACGTCTCTCATGTCCGACCACTACGAGACCCGGCATGGCTACCGACCGTCAAATGGGGTGAGGCCACCTTCGAGGAGCACATTCTTTTAAAGCGCGAATTTGCCCCCCGAGCTGTTGCCAATGCTCGGGGCCAGGCAACGGTACCGCCCCCAACGGTGGCCTATGGCACTGCTGTGGATGGGTCTTGGCATGAGACTTGGCCCAGCGATGTGGACTGTCGGATAATCTGCGTACTGCGGCTACCCGACTTGGTCACTTCTGACGAGACCTTCCTGCGAGCTGCAAGAGAGGCCATCCCTTGCCATTTGCGGGCGCGTGACGCTCTCCAGAAGGCCGTTGTTGTCAGAGCCTCTGGGCTTGGTGGCTCGGTGATACCGGCCAAGTGTGGTTACCTTGCATTTCGCACACGGCGTGACGCTCGAGAGTGCTGGTCTCTCCAACACCTGAAGCTGTATGGATATATATGTCCGCTAATAACAGATCCTACAGCATTCAGAATACTTTGTCAAGTTGCATTGGTTTTGAAACTTTATGAAGGCCATTCAATTGGTGCTACTACTAGTATAACAACACCTCGGTTGGTGCCAGAGTCCGGTCCCTCGACGGCCCCGGTCCCTTCAACACAAGTCGGGTTCACCAGCACCAAGTTCGGGGGCGGATTGTCTTCGAGGAAGCCTCTATCGGGCGCTGTTCGTGGGGCCGACGTTAGTAACGGTGCAGCTGGTGGTAGCACATCTAGAGGCCGCTTTGTCCTCCGTGGTCTCAAGGAGAGTCTGCAACGCCTTAAGGGTCCGCCCGTTGAGAGCTGCGGTAATTTCTCAGCGGCTGCGGTCCGTTATAGTCGTCTTGATCAACGAGATGGCGCTGTAGTTGGGAGGTCTGAGTACGTCCGAGCGGAGACTTCTTCCGATGGTCAAAGTCAGAAGCTCAACATTGGCCTCACTAATGATCGCAATGTGGTGGTCTTGGAGACTAACGATGACAGCACTCTGGTTGATTGGCGGCCCGAATGGGTCTTTAGAGATTGGGCCTGGGGCTGCCGACCTATTTCCGTGTCCCTAGCTGAGAAGAAGTCCGCTTTTGGCGAGATAGACCCCGCTGAGCTCTCTGACTACAGCACCTATAGCGTCCCGGATATGAGCGTGTTCAAGCCTGTTCGGTCTGTACCATTGATAGGGGGAGTATCACCGCAGAGCAAGGCCCGGTCAGCGGCTACTAGCCGGAAGGGCAAGAAGTCCAAGAAGGATAAGAAGAAGAAACGAAAGACTAGCCACGAATTGACTGCGAAGCTCGCGGCGGAAGTGAAGGCTGATGGAAGTGCTGCCACCAAGGCTGGAGAGAGGATGCAGGTTGAGAGCTGACACTATGCATTGTTTGCCTCTATTGTGTAAAATGTATTGTACCATATTGAACCATTGAAAGGCTACTGCAAACAAACTCACGATGGTGTTACTTGAAAGTAAGGGTTGGTCACTAAAGTTCAACAGATGAGCATTTGTCGCATGGCGGTCATGTAGAGTTGTCGTAAGTGATGATGGTTGGTGACTGCCGTTGAGGGAAATTCAACAAAAATTGTCTGTTTTCCGGTTGTAAGATTATTGTTGCGTGTGTAGTAAAATTATGAAACGTTGCGAAACGTCATGCATGGATTGGCTGTGTAATCTTACACATATCCACTAAGTACGTCAGGGGATTATTTAACAACCTCGAGGCAGCCGAATACAGCACATCTTCAGAATTCACTAGACCGGCGTCGTATGCTCACATACACTTGAGCACTAGTTGCCTTTACTAGTTGCACTAGTTGCCGTGGTCTGGATTATGAACACAACTACAGCTGATAGTTGCCATCAGGCATCACTCACTTCCGAAAGGATTCGTGTACATGCGTGCTAAATAGACAAAGATTTTACTATCAGATCAAAGGTCTATTCAGCGCCGCTGCGTTCTACAGGCTGTAGACTACAGCTCTATTCGGAGAATCTGTGAGAGCCTCAATGAAGTTTTTACCGGCGTGGTTACACAAGCCATTCGAAGGGATCTGCTCCCCAACCCCTGAGGTATATCGCGTGGTGATAGTTCAACTCAGCAAGACTCGATACCTCATCCTTCGACACCGTTCGCTACCAGCGTCAAACCTCCACAGCGCCGTGGGTGGCCTTCCAGAGAGTCCCTTCTCTCCTATCAAATCCATTCAATAGCAACGCTTATGCACTAACAAGGTCCGAGTGAACCGCGCAGCATTAGACTACTCTGATGGACTCTGGTGAAGGAGAACGAACAAGTTGACTCCATTATATACCCTCCTGCCCTCCAGCATTGCTTGCTGAGACCAGGTAACAGGTATTCTTGCTTACCTCACCCGCTGAACTCCGCCCACTACTCCCTGCAGTCGGCCCTCATCCATTTCTAGACATGCTCTCTGCAAGAGCAACTCCAGTACGACTCTCCCACATACTAGTAAACTCAGATTCGAGATTGTCAGGAGACCATGAATGGTAACATGCCACGATGTGCCTTGTCAAATGCACAGGCGAGCTTCATTATCACTATAACTGGAACATTCGCTGGGCCTGGACCCCAAAGAAACCCGTTGACCTCGAGGGCCCAGTGCTGGGCAGTATGCTCTCAGCACTGGGTAGGACCATCGGAGGGAAGTGGGCGGCCAATGGAGGGGTATGGCCGCCCTTCCCAGTGATCGACCCGGCCCGGTACCGCGGCATGCTCACGTGTCGCTGTCCGCCACTATTACAGACACGCCAGTGAGACTGAGACCCCTGTTGCTGGTGTGCCAGCGAATGGGACTGTGGGAAGGGGTGAGGAGTGGGAGCATGCTCATTTAGCACTAAGAATAGATCATGCCGACTGCGATAGTCACAGCGCAGCACTCACCAGCATGCAAGCCAGGCAAGGGGATGCGACGGCCGCCCTCCGCCGTACCAGAGCAACTACTAGGGGCCCAACCTGTAATCACTTTAGTCGTAGGTTACCACACGCCATACTACCCCCGCGATGAGCGGCACTCGACGATCCATTCCCGAGGGAAGGCCGTCTTGATAGGGGGTAGGTCGGTGGGAACTGAGGTCGTTGCTGATCCTGGGGCTGCTTGTAGGGAAGTACGAGGTTGACAGTATGGGGAAAACTCGGTCGCGGTTGTTGCGGTGGTGCCTGTAGATAGTGAATATGGCGGCCATAGGTTTATATGTCCCCACCCTTCCTCCTGAGGGAGGCCTGTGACCGGTAGTGGGCAGCACTGTACAGGGTAGTGACGCTATAGCTGTAGCCACCTGCCGCTGGAGTGCTGCTGTATGAGTCGCGAAGAAAGGATGGCTCAAGCACTGGTGCGCCGTTAACCTTTCAAAGGAGGGCCTCCTATGCACAGACACAAGGAGACTACCGTTTGCTGGGGTCCCAAGTCAGTACTGCTTTCATGAAGTCAATACCATCTCTGGAGGCTGGCGGGACCAAGTCTGTGAGGTCAGTAGGCTCACATGGGAGGAAGCGATACCCCATTTGTGATGCTAGGCGACAGCCCTCGGACCATATCTGCACTCCTCATGATAGTGACCAGGGCAGGCCTCGACACACCTCTGCCGTTGGCGTTCCGATCACTGTGCAGATCCTGTACAGTTCATCAGTCTCAGAAGAGCCAGGAAATAGTGGTCGACCTGGTAGCATTGTGAGTGCTCTGGTCTTACTCTAGTTAGTACCAGTGTATAGTTCTGCCATGATGCCCCCAGCTGCCCAGAGATCCACAGGTGAATTATAAGAAGGGTTTCTAAGTAGGACCTCCGGAGCTCGGTACCTGCTCACACCGGGCTGGCAACGACGTGGTCTGAACGATTCAACACCATCTAGTTGAGACGTAGTCTGTAAAGGGCGGTCGCGACCTGATCTCTCGAGCCAGGCCGAAGTCGGCCAATTTGAGCAAGTCTCTGGTCACCTGTCACCGTGTCGACTTACTCCACGGTCCGTGACAGTACCAGTAAATTCTCAGGTTTGAGGTCCCTATGGAAGTAGCCGTGCTTATGCATGAAGTCCAATGCCATTATAGTCTGATACATGTACAGCCTAACCTGGGCTTCTGGGAAGGCGTTCTCTTTTTTCCTCAAGAGTTGGTATAGATTTCCCTCTAAGAATTCGAACACCTACAACTTCATAATTCCAACATCGATCGGCCCAATCTACCAAGTGAAGTTCATCAGCCTCTCGAATGACCTCCTTTAGTCGTACTATGTGGGGATGTGTGAGTTTCCGTAGACTTCTGACTTCCCTCAAGGCCATGCACTCATCCCAGGAGTAGTATCTGTCAGCGACTCCCTGTATCGGTGATGGCAAGTTTTGGTACTTCTTCTTCATCTTTTTGATAGCGATTATTTCCCCTGTGTGTTTGTTCTGCCCTCGCAAAACGCTACCATAGGTCCCATCGCCCAGCATTCTATGTACTTTGTATTTATTCATGGTCTATCTCAGTGTACATTATAATAGCAACTGACACTCACTCTTCTACACTGTCATATTCACGTTATATCGTCTATATGCTCTTCCGCGTAATGGATGTAGAAGCAGCATATGTAGTCAAAGTCTCACGTGCCCACTATCCCTAGATTATGTCCTACAAGCATTGCATAGGAGTTATACGCTCCCTCTGGCAATACAGCTATTTCCCACTAAGAGATCTCTAAGGGCACACAAGGCAAGCTTCCCGTGTCGTCGAGGGTGATCCTGCGCAGAGCTAGCGCAAATCGATCAGACGATCGATATGATTGTACGAAGCCCCATGGCGCGGTCTATCTCAGTGGAGTCTCAGCCTTAAACCATGCCCCACTCCTTCGGTCTTAGAGCGCGTACCCGCGATAAGTTCTCCAAGGGCTTCAGGGAGAAGGGTCTTCCCAACCTTACCCGCTACTTGACCCCCTTCAAGCGTGGTGACTTCGTTGACATTGTCGCCGATGCCTCTATCCAGAGGGGTATGCCCTACCAGTTCTACCACGGCCGTACTGGTGTCGTCTTCAACGTCACTCAGAAGGCTGTTGGTGTTGAGGTAATGCACCATCTAGACAATCCGTCGCCTACTTTCGCGTGTCTGTTGCCTATAGTGTTTTCATTCAGGTGACCAAGGTCGTCGGCAACCGTCAGCTCCGCAAGCGCCTTCATGTCCGTATTGAGCACGTCCGCAAGTCTCGCTGTAACGAGGCCTTCCTCAACCGTGTCAAGGCCAACGATGCCCTCAAGCATGACGCTAAGGTCAAGGGCGAGAAGGTCATCACTAAGCGTGAGACCCCTGGCATGCCCAAGTCTGGCAAGATTGTGAAGGTCGGACGCAGTGGCGAGACCAAGGTAATGTCCAATTGACTTCGCCATCTTCTACTTCGTGTCATTTAGGTTCACGTCCTTGAGGCTCTCCCCTACGTCGAGAACTACTTCTAAGCTGTTATTGCTCAATGACGAAAAGGGAGCGGGTCTCTGGCCGAGAAATTATTGGCTGATACATTCGTGTTGTGTTTATTATATAAATCACGTGTACTACACTGGTGGTGGGAAAATCATCTATTCACTGTTAACGATGTTTATGTCCACGACGAAGTAACTGCCTTGGGTGTGCTTATATTTTAGGGGAAGTACGTCCCACTTGAATGATACCTTGTCGATATGGAAGCTTCTTCATAATTTTCACCAGGATAGAACCAATATAGAAATGTGACTGCGAGCTCAGCAGCTCCGAAATGAGTGACCATATCCTGATATAAGTAGACAAATAAAGTCACGTGCATAGTATACGTATAGACATACGGCGTCTCTCTATGTAGCCAATTTTGCGTTTGACGATAACAATCAGTGCACAATCCGAAGTGCAGGAAGGTTTATACAGCGTTGGAAAGAGCTCAATAGAGCCTTCAAGCGGTTCCTATTTTGTTCATGAACTCGTATACGGCCAAGAGAGGATAGTCTACATAACGTAGACAATGTTCCGATGTATAATACTTTCCAACTCTATACCATAATCTCGATAACACACACAACGATTTGTCACCATGGGGAAATGTATAAGTAGTAAACTTTGACAACAACTTAGAGACGAAGTAATTGTCAGAATAATCATCGGCATCATCATCAAGGAAAGGAACAGGGTAACTTTAGACTCAGGCGAATGGGACTGTATAAAAGCAGTCAGCAATAGAACAAACTGTAGCCCTACGATGGCTACAGTGGTACAATAGTATCATTATCATGCATTATTGACAGAGTGGAATGAACCTGGCGTCCTAGAGCTCGGACAGGGCCCCCCGTGGCATGGCCATGAGATCCCGTATATCTACACAGAAGTTGCTACTATTCCCAGCCATCCTTCCTGTTGTAGTACATGATAATTCCTCTGTAGTGTACTCGGCCAGACTACTGGTCTCCCAGTCCTCATCGTCCTCCTCATCATCGTCGGCTTTCCCATCGCTCTCAGCGGTTGATGGGCTATCGTCTTCCCCTTCATCGTCTTCTTTCACCTCCTCCTCCTCCTCTCACAATCGTCCTCCATCATCGGTTCGTCGTCGTCGTCTTCTTCCATCGTGGTGGAACCGATGTAGTTAGCCTGGTGGCTCGACTGCCCATCGAACGCCTTTATCTAAAGCGACCCATGAGAGTTCCCCCCCGATCATCATCCGCCCAATGCTATTACCTCTAGAGGGAGACTGTGAATGTGGGTGTCGGCCATGGAAGCCGCCGAATCGAAAAATCGAACTAAGCCCTCGGTCGAAAAGCTGATCGACTGAGCCTTGGGCTCCTTCCCCCCTCCTCATCCTCCTCCTTAACATTCTTGATACACATCTCAGTCAACAGATCTCTGTTGACTTCAGTGTTGCTGAAAGCATCCAGAAGCTCCTTATTGAGACGGAGCTCCTCCTGGTCCTGAGCAGCCCGTCCGAGCTCCAACGCTATCACCGACCGATGAGCAAAGTCGGGGCACATACTATCCTCTGAAATATCATCATCATCATCGTCGTCGTCCTCTTCCTCAGGCTCCTCAATTTCGTATTCGTAGTTGTTTTCATTCATCTCCTCTTCTACACCACCATCCTGGTCCTCGTCGTCACTGGATTCCTCCCAAGATTCATTCTCCACTGTGCGCTCGTCATTGAGCTCAGCTGCTTGAGTCTGTTTAGATTCTTCCCAACAATCCTCGCAGAGACGGTTTCCACTGCCCTCCTCAACCAAAGTGCTGCCATCTTGACTACCGCAGACGTCACAGATCGACCCTTCGGTGTAGTCTACTTCTAGTGGGAGAAAGGTTTTGGAAGCTAGTGAGTTTGATGATGGCATTTTTGAGGGCGGCACTCGCTTCAGTAGAGTCCGCTTCACGGCGTAGGGCGACCGTCGAGTGCTACTGCTGCTAGGACGGGAGGAGGGGGAGGAGGAGGAGGCGTAGGGAGATGAATGCGAAATTATAGGAGTTCGCATTAAAACGCTGATGGCCGGAATTTCCAAATGAGCGTAAATTCATACCGCTCCTTGAGAACATCGTAGCAATTGGCATCCCTTACGGTGCCGAGCGCTCGAAAAACGACGCAATGGGACAGGATATGCTTCGCTCCGCTGTAGCGCAACAATCTAAAATCTAGCAGAGTCACTCACGGAGGTTGTCGTCGTCACTGTCGACTTCAAGCAAGGCTTGCTGCTGCTGTTGTAGAACATGTTGAGCTCCGTCGTGAACACTTCCATCTCTTGGTGTCAAGCCAATTTACCTGTACAAGCTGCCAGGGAAAGGATTCCTCTCGTGAACACGAGTTTAAGGGTAGCTGACGCCTATGGTATGCCTGTGGTTGTTAAAGTCGACTCTATCATTGACGGTATCATCGACAAAGGCAACTACTATGTTGCTGTAAGTAGTCTCTCAGGTGATTGCTCTGCTGTTTACTTCTATGTGTTCAGAATGTTCGTGGTAAATCCGTTGCTGCTTTCGAGGCAGTTGAAGGTATGAGAGGCTCCCTCCGGAAAAAGGAGGAAGCAGTTCGAAACAAGGTTGGTGACCTCGTCACTGAGAAGAAGAACGAGTTCGCTAACGCTAAGCACATGGTCATCACTAAGGTCAACAACACGTATCATGTGAGTAGTCTATGTCTGCTCGTGTGTTCATTTCTGGTATCAGGTATTATCTTCAAGGTTGCAGAAGATACCAAATTCCATAGACTTCGACATCCACGTATTACTCGATCAAGACAGTTGGCTGGTTGGTGCTATGCTGGGCATGAGGGATCGTGTTCTGGCGATCGCTGCGAAGGGTAAGGCTTGTCGATAGAGTTGAACCGCCCCTTTATCTATCTGTATTATAGTATATAGCTATAGACTTATACATGTATGATAATATAAATATATCGTGTATTGGATACCATTAAAAGGATGCCGAACTTGTCCGTTTTGGGTCGTAGAGTCGTTCTTGAGTATCCTATTATTTTTATGGTGATTGCTCTGGAATAACCACAATATTGCTCTCACTAGTCGTAGGGTATACAACGTATTCGTCCTTAGTCCTTTCGTAATGTAATTATATCACATGTAGTGCAATAGTCTTCCCTTATGTTCGATACACTCGTAGAGATTCTATATGTCGGGTTCTATCTGAAGTTGTAGTAATACACAAGTATGACGCGGCACCAATTTTGTTTGGATGTTTTCCTTCTCTCTCTTCCGTCGCTTAGTAGTTTTTGTACTGTTCTTAGGTTTGGACATGACCCTTGGTGAAGAGAGACGGTCTGCCATCTTTGAAAGAGGTTCTGTTACTTATGAGAGAGCACTCGATATGGCATGTGGTTTCCTTGGAGTCGAGCGTCGCACTACTGTGGCAGTCCCTACTAGTCCCAGTGAGAGCTCTCAAGCCGCCACTGATAAGGTCTCCGAGACTAGCACGGTTGAGCCGGTGAACGTCTTGAAGGAGCAGAAGGAATCTTTGATGGTTGACGAGAAGCATTCTGTTGTTAGGGTTGAATCGAAGAAGTGCAAAAATTCTGGTCTTCCCAAGTAGGACTTGGAATTTCACCTAGCGGCAGCTTCCTATCATTTTTCTCTAGTTTTACGCTGATCTCTGATGATACTGTATTTCCTCAGTCTTCCCAGAATCTGTCACTATTACCAGTCTCGGTCACTTGAGGAGAAGGATCTACGATGATGGAGTGTGGCGCGACCCTAAAGTGGATCGTCGGACTTCTGTCCAGCGGCATTTATCTCTCGTTACGATGAACCGCCCTTCCCCGCCGCTGTTGCTGCTTGGACTTGACTACTGTTTAGGTCCCCTTCATCGTAGTAGTCGGGAGGTTCTTCTTTATCACTATATCGTCATCATCATCTGCTTCGCCTATCGTCGTCGTTGTTTTTTTGTGTATGCGTGTGACCATTGAAAACTATCTACTTTTATTGATGATGAATGCATATTTTCCCTCGTGGTAGTGCAGTAGTGTTATGGTCTCTTAACGTAGTCTCTATTGTTGAGAAACATCAGAAGTTTTAGTTGACATTCTGCTGGCTTTGAGTTGGTGTAAGGCGAACTGAAAGAGTCTGCTTTCCGTAGGTGTTTGGTCACTTCGGTGGTCATATATCATCTAATGCATTGAGCTGGTGAGGTAGGGGTGTTCGCCGTCAGCAGCAGGAAGATGGTGGCTGAGTGAAAATTTAGAAAAGGTTGCCGCCTGTGAAGTCGAGAGTTGCCCTCAAGGGCTCCAAGTCTTGGAGTGAGGATGACGTTGAAGAAAGCTGAACGGAGGTGGTCGGGAAGGATGATATTGGTTTAGGGTAGTGATGATGGGAATCTTCGCGCTCGAGGTGCGTTCATTTTCTGCGGGATGTCTTAGTGAAGACTCAAGTTCTTTGTCGAGACCGAGTCGCTGGAATTTCTAACTCGGAAAAGAGTTGATATTTTTGAGCGTGTCTTTGATTCTTGGTTTTTATCCAAGCTCGTGACACCGGCTTTCCGATAACTTGGGGACGTGGACATCGGGGTATTCTAATCGAGACTCTAATTGAGACTTGAAGGTTCGGCAGAGTAGAGTTCCTCAGTTCATTCTCGTTTACATCCGTGTGCCCTTAGCATGGTTCGTTAGCGATAGAGAGGTCACCACTCTACAGGTCTTATCCCTTTATTGTAGTAAGAGAAGTCCAAGGAGTGGTCTGGATGAGAACTCTAGCGAAGACGATCCAGCTGCATATGGTGGACTGGCCGTCCTGGACCATAGACTCCAGTGTGGGATCATCACACGAGTGTCTGTCGAAGAAGCTCAGTAGCTGCCGAGCCGCGTGCCGGCTGACGCTGATTAGGATGCTGTTGTTGGAGCTCATCATGGCTCGAGTTTTCCAAGAAAAGTGACAACATTCTACTGACAGTACTTCGTTCTTGATCTCTCGAATTTGCGGTGACTGCACATCCCACACGAGGAGTCAAGGAGAACCATGAGAGATCGAACCCTTTCACTATCTTCACGACAGTGTAGTGTTGCTACCGCCTTACGTTGAGCCTTAGTGACCTGGTCCTGGCCGATATGGTCTTGAGAATTGTCTCGGTAGTGGCCAGTGGACAACTACGCTGGAAAATGGTAGTAAAAGACGATTAGAGCGGTTAGTTCAAGGTTAGTGATGGTAACTACTGACAACCATGAGAGCACTGTTGGCTATGATAAGGGAGGGTGTTGGGGGTCACAACTCACGCATGTAAATGCACGGCGTTTTTGGAGTAGTTTCGGTTAGAGGTATATAGTCCTGTAGAGCATTTAGACGAGCAATTCAAAACGTTCTTCACGAGGATACACTGAGAACTTCTTCATAACCTAGCTCAGCTGCTGAATGAGCAGCAAGGGCCTTGGGTTTCGTTCACCAGACATTGGGCTATGCCTCTTATAGGGTGGGGGAGCTGACACAGCGAAGGCTAGGTGAATGCGTGGTTCTGATAGCAGTAGAGATCTGCGTTGGTGCTCGTGGCCTTCGCTATCGTGATTGCAGTCTGCTCATCGTGACATGTCTCGTCGAGTTGAGCGCGGGGAATCCGATGCACCCCGTGCATCGGAGAGAAGATCTGGCCCTTACAATGAGGAAGGCCGCAGGTATGCATTACGGTGGTTCCCTTAGTCTGCATCCACTTCTGTACTGCCACCTAGCATGATCCTATTTGTTTCAGATCAGACTATCGGAGACCTCTAATGCCACCTCCAGGTAGTGGTCCTAGAGGAGGCCCCAGAGGAGCAGGGCCACCACCTCAGCGTAGGAGGGGAATTGCCATTGACAGGTAGAACTGCGGGGCGGCCTTTTTAACTCATAGGCTCTATCGTCCAACAGTGTAGATAATCGTGGTCAACTACGCGTCTAGATGACAGAAAAATAATTCTCGTTAGGGTCGTGGGTGAATTCCTGTAGTAGGGTAAATTCCGAGCTCTAACATATACTTCAACTCTGTCTGTCATTCAGAGCCCAGACCTGCCCCTTCCTCCTTCGAGTCTTCTATCGCATGGGATCTCATCACGATGACGGTGACTTCGCCAAACTCGGGGAGTTGCCAGTAGACGAGGAGCTGCAGGTCTACACTTGGCCCGATGCCTCCCTAAGGGAGATCTCCGGTACAATCCCCGCACCCTCTGTCTTTTCCATTCTTTTAATTGTTTGATTTCTCCAGATCTGATTGAAGACATATTGCCTGAGTCTCGTGGGCGTACCAAGAAGCTCAGCTTCAAACTCATCTATCCGGACAGGAGTGGCCGCTTCGTGATGGCCAGGATAGGGGAGGTAATATCTTAGGGCGAACCTGAGGTCCAGTTGTGAATTTCGTGGCGCGTGACGGTCGTCTGAGCAGGTTTTTAACAGTCACGAAACTTTCCCGGATGGGCGTACATTAGCCGAAGTAAAGTTCCAGCCGAGAGATTTCCTCGATGTGGCGATCCTCGATAACGAGAAGCTCACAGCACCTCTACCAGAACGGCCCTCGAGGGCTCCTCGGAACCGGGCCCAGAACGGAGAAATGGCTGAGAATAAAGACGAGGGCAAGAAGAGAGATGAGTGAAACTAAGAGAATGGGCATTAGTTTTAAACGCTACACGTGAGGGGTCTCAGAAAGTAACTTCAAACTTGTTGTTTTATATGGGGAGGAAGCTCTCTGGTTATTTTCCCACCTCTGTCGGGGGCTACATCTAGATTGTTGCCAACAGCTGAGGTCTCCATAGCCGTGATAAACGACTGGGTTCTCGTATAGTCTTCCAGGTTTCTTAGATGACCCTCAATGTCTCTCGTGTAGCTGCACTATTCACCCGACTTGTAGTATTACTAGTGGTGTACTCGGTCGCGGCATCTCCTACACCTGCTGGCGATGTCGCGAGTGAACCCGTACCGTTCATCCTACACATCTCAGATATACATGTCTCACAGTGAGTACTTACCCCTTGGGTCCCAAGGCTTGGGAGCATATCGGCATATCTCTACTCAGGTTCAACAACATGACTATTGACAAGCTCTCAACATTCTGTCGTGAATTTCTCCCCAGGGTTAAAGACCACGGCCTCGTCGCTACAGGTGAGATCCTCTACCATCACATAGTGTCCTCATCGGTCTACTGCAGTTCTCGGGGGAGATCTAGTCGACTCTAATGTAGCGGCCTGGAGCGGTCAGTATCCCGGCCCTATAGCAGAGGAGTGGGCTAAGCTCAGTCATGTGCTCCTCGAGGAGTGTGCTCCTAATGGCAGTCCGATTCTGACAGTCCGGTGAGCCCAGCATTTCCGCAATGGTTCGTGACCTCTTTCCACAGAGGCAACCATGACTCGTTTGCTGTTGCTGGTTATGATGATGAGAAGAACCACTTCTATCGTGAGATGGTCGAGCAGGTAGGGACTGCACGGCGGACTTCCTCACGTGTCGACGTCAGTTGTGGCCGAAGTCGGCAGACCTCATCCGAAATCAAGGCGGCAGTTGGATGTTACCCGTCAATGGTTACTTGCTTATTGGACTTGACCTCACGCCTTCGGCTGGGGCCAGTCGACACTTTTTTGGGGAACTTTCTGAAGAGACCGAGGCCTGGCTCAGAGAGGAGTGGCTGGGAAAAAGACGCCACATGAGGACTATCATCATAACACACTACAACTTCGGTACGCGTGATATGATTCTCTTCGTCATCTAAAATGCCTCTTTTGTTCAGGCACGTTAGAGCCACCGAGTCGCCGACGGTTCGCGCAACTCTTACATGAAGCCTTGGACGTACACGTTGTTCTGACGGGGCACACCCACACAGTGATGGGCCACTGGATGTATGCTGAGTTTGAAGATCTCCTCGAGATGGAGGTAAGATGAACCCTCGTTGAGTCGATGTGGCAATAGCTCTCGTCAGATCCCGGACTTCAAATTCAACGGAGTGGTGCGGCTCCTACAGCTGCCTTCGCCTACCTCAGAGACCGCAGTCCCTAGGGAATGGCGTTACTCAATAGAGCCTAATAAGGATATTGTTCCAATCATCCTGCCACCTGTCGTTCATGATGATGGTAAAGTTCTTGTAACCGTGCTAGGAGCACCCGATGTTGACAAGGTGGAAGTCATCGACAACAGTCGCATATATACCCTCACCCGCGAGAGTTCCGACGAGACGGTGTATACGGGTCGGCTGGAGTCAGCACAATCCATACAAGATGCCATAGTGCAAGTTACCTACAATCAGGGAGACTCCTCTGTCGAGACCAACCTCGGTCCAATCAATCCGCAGAGGAAACTTTTGCCATGGTCCATGCAACGAGTCTTCACCAACATGCATACAGCTATGTTCTTGGCGTCTGTAGCTTTCTGGATCGGTAACATGTTACTGGTTTGGTTTATGCGATCCACTCTGTTACGCTCTGGGTGCTTACTGCAGTATCTCCTAGAAGGTATTGCCGTGTTCTTGCCGGTATTGCCTTGGAGTCTAGCTGTCGGTTATCATGGTTGTCCGAGCATCGTATTCGCCTTTGGCATATTCTGTCTCCGTTCACCTTCTTGGTTGCCCAACGACACTTACGCCATCGCGTTCATTGGTTTGAGTCTGAAATTGTCGTCGTGCCTGGCCGTGGTGAAGAGTCTAGATGCGAAGAGCCGCTGGTCCTTCTTGAGCATTCCAGTACTACTCTGGGGAGAGTACTTCAGTCTACGGTGGACGGCGATGTCTTATGGACCGTACGCATACATATTTGCGCCAGCGACATTACTGTGGGATATGATCTTCTGGATAGGAGTTTTCCGAAGATATTTCGGCCTGTGCCTCCCCAAGAGAACACCAGTACCATACACTCGGCTACACTTGAATCGTGACGATTCCACAACTTCATCTGACAGTTCTGATATCGGTAATGCTGTATCCAGGCGTGCCCGTCGGCGTGCATCGCCTTAAGTAAACTATGTTGAGTTGTTACAAACGCGACCGTTTCTCAATAGGAAAATGAGTATAAAAGAGTGATGAAATTTCCAGGTGTGGAAAATTTGTACAATGATAGGTATTTACTAGAAATTCTTTACAGTAATATGATCGATTGGTATATACCAAAGGACGAACCAACAGCCGAAACGGCGAGGATGAAACCTAACCCCACGATAGCTGCTATCTTTCTTGGGGATGAATCTACACGGCGACCCCGCAAATACGATAATCTTAACCAGAAAATGACGGGGTAAAAGTTGTGGATGAGCGAGAAGCAAACCGAACCTAGAAGGCCGACAAGACCTTGGAAACTGGGTATCAGGATGGGTATGATGATTGTGAATCCAACCATAAGTGTGCGTATCAATAGAGACCAGATGATAGGCTTATCTGTCACATTCAGTGCCTTCTCGACGATGCGAAATGACGGGTTCATAAGCACAACATAATGGGTTGCACATACAACCAGGATAGATAGAATGGCTAGATACGCGACGACACTTATTTTCTCGCCCGTGGGGGCCATAGCATCAATGACTGTATCATAGGTGAGCAGCTGATGACCCCAACCAGCATAGCCTGATGCGGCTATAATACAGTAAAGAATGATGAGAATAATCATCGAAATGTATATCGCTCGACTTCGCTCATGAGGGTGCTTCATATCATGCAAGATTGTTGTTGAAGTACAGGAAACAGCATAACCAAAAGTCATACTAGCAAAGGTGATACCAAGCCCAACGAAGGACTGCGGCGCGGGGTCATAGGAATGGACATCTTTCTCATCTACTGCGTGGAGAATACCACCGATGACGATCGAGACTAGGAGGATCACTAATGCAGCCACGCCAACGGTACCACTCACATAGCCGACATGTTTCATCGTGCGTAACCACGATAATGGGAGCATAGCAGCTCCCCAACAGAGTATCCAATACTTCTGTTCCAATTGAGGGAAGAGTTTCACAGAATTGGAGCCCAACAGGAGCATCAAAAGGCAACCTGTTCCTATCAGAGCCGCGTTCAGGGCGATGGTCACACAGATAAGGCCGATTCGACCAAAGGCATCACGGCCGATATCTTCATAGTTCTGCGTCGTAGGTGTCATACACAGTCTAAGCAGTTGAACGTAGAGGATACCCAAAATACCAGTTGCAATCAAAATAAGAAAACCCAAGATGTAGCCGGCCTCTGCCACGGCTCCGGGGACGCTCAGCATGCCAACACCGACACCAGTTAGCAGCATATTGATGACTGCAGATCTGGTAGTCTGTTTGCCAGGCTCGACTTCGACTTTGATTGACGATATAGATTCACCTTCCATGATGACGGGGGAAAACTGAAACAATAGAAAGCCATATAAACCGATTCTTCACAGTGGTTTTCAAGAAAACGCAACCGCACTATTCTCGAGAATACCGATGGGAAATGAGAGTGATGACGATCCTCCACATCACAGATTAGAGTGTATGAATGCTAATCAAACGTTTTACGCCGTAAAATTTACGGTATTCTTCAGCAACGAATCCCCCAATTATCATCAAGATCCCGCACAGATATCGCAAAGCAGTGCACGAATGATGACTTGTGGGATGGTTCGACGAGTTGATGTGAATACAAGCATAAACTTCACAGATGAGGTGAAAGGCGTTAATAATCGCCGAGTCGAGTTCAAATGTATTCAACCGGTCAACTGGAAAACTTCCTACAACGTAGCCGCTATGTCGCAGCCCGATGTTACAACTACTTAACTAGAATGGGAATGGCTTCGTATACACCACACACCGAGCCAATAAAAGAGATGATCATGAGAAGACCCAGTCCTGCTATCTTCATCATCATCATCCACCTGGAGCATTCCCTCGGCTCGCCCAAAAGAACGAGACGAATGTAAAATATCGAGGGATAGAAATTATGGATGAGTGAGTAGCAAACAGATCCTAGGAGGCCGACAAGACCTTCGAAGTTGGGCACGAATATAGCAGTGATAGCAGTAAAAGCAACCAAAGTGCTTCGAGCCAAATATGACTTGAAGAGTTGATGTTCATCAATCCGAAATGCTTCCTCAACGATACGACTGACTGGATTCAACAAGACGGCATAGTGAGTAAGACATAGCACCAAAATGCTAGAAATACATAGATACGCCTCCGGACCATATGTGGGTCTCCCCTCAGTGATAACGTCAATGATATTATGGAATTTACTCAGTGACGCACCCCAACCAATGTAACCTGATAACGAAACTAGGAAGTACACCAATCCAAGAAGGCCAACTCCCCAATAGATGACGCGGCGATGGGCAGAAGCGTCCTTCATATCATGCAATACAGTGGTACTCGCGCATGTAACGGTATAAGCGAGAGTCATACTCCCGAATGATATCCCCAGTCCGAGAGCACTTTTCGGATACGGTTCGTAAACAGAATCAATCCCAGCATCATCATCCGCGGCTCGAACAAAACCTGCGTAGATAATGGTCACCATGAGGATGATGACCGAAGCTGTGCCTACTGTACCACTGATGTAACCAACATGTTTCATATTACGTAACCAAGAGATAGGCAGGAGTACAATCACCCAGATCAAAACCCAACATTCCAGGCGGATCCCATCATAGAGCTTGAAAGAGTTTTCACCGAGAAGTACTACGAGTAAACAACACGAGCCAAGTAAACCACCGTTCACCCCGAACGCGACGGCGACAACACCCCATCGACCGAAAGCATCCCTACCAATATGTTCATAGTTTCGGGTATTCGGCTTCATACAGGCACGTAACAGTTGAGTGTAGAGCGTACCAACGATGCCACTATAAATAAGGAGAGCGAATCCAAACGCATAACCAGCCCGCGAAACCGCCCCAGGGAGGCTGAGCATACCAACACCGACACCAGTGAGCACAATGTTGGCCACAGCATAAAAATTGGACTGCCCACCTGCCGATTCCAACTCGACCTTGAGCGTTTCAATTGACTCCGTCGACTGCGTGGTGAGCATGGTGATGAAGGATCAACTGTCAGAAAATTGGGAGTAACAACTTTCATACAAGGCACAATGTCGCTCTGACTACTCGTTATATGAGGATCATGCAGCAAACTGTTCGCATACAAAGACTGCCACCCCATTTTAAATACTGTAGTCGATAATAGGTACACTATATCCGGTTGACGACACGATGGTATGACGAGAAGGAAAGCTGCGTTGCGCCAATGGCATATCACCAATTTTCTACCTGACCCCTATGCTCGCTAGACATACTTATTCAAGGCGAAAACCATCGCAAACCAGCAAACAAAACGTCCAAGCAGTTCTGATCACGGAAAATCAGATGGAGACATGCTGAGTGTGCTCATTGGGAAGCTCTGCCAGGGAGCCACAGGGCCGTTCAAAGTCTCTAGCAAGACCATTAGGAATACAGCGATCGGATTGAACCTAAATACCGCTTTGCGAAGCACTCATCATGACTAACACAATAGGATGCGGTGCCTAAACACAGCACCAGTCGAGTATTGGCAGTAGCAGCTCCAGCCAAGTCGTCAGTCTCAGTATAGGGTACGCAACAGAGTGGATCACCGACTGGGATAGCATCCCTGCAGAACTTTCTCTTAGCGCGTAACTGGAGGCCGCGAGAAGATCTTGTGCCCACACATAACCGCCACGAGCGGTTTATCAAGCTCCTACCTCGAAACATACACCCCATCAACAACGAGCTCTCCCAGGTCAGTAAGAGGTGCGTATAAACCCTCCTTGTTCCGAGTAATTCGTATATCGCCTGCGATGTTCACTGGAAAACACACGACTACGTTGACACTACTTATACGAGATCGCCTGGGCCCGAATGCGGTATCGACCATGATAAAATCTCCGACGCGCAAATCTGCCGAACGACGGAAGTGGTCCCCTCCGGGAGCCGTTCGGATGAGATGATCTACTGAGGTACACAGTTTGACTCCATCGGCCGTTGTTACCTCGATCTGAGGATCATCTCGCGTATGCAACCATACCAAATTCAGTCTAGCTGGATCCCGCCCTATGTCCTACATAGTGCATCCTCACAGCAACGTTCCTGTGAATCCAGCCAACCAATGTTGTCGAGGCACCACTCCCCAGGACGATGTTATCACCGACGGCGGCTTCCGATAGGCGTTTATAGATGTGCGCTATCAAGGGCCATTCCAAGATAGTTCCTCAGACTATAGGGATACCTCCGTCGGACGCGACCTTTACTATCGCATCGCCAGGAAAGCAGGCTGGTCGACACAATGAGCCATACTCGTCCACCTGTACAGGATATCTCCGCGATGAATCACGACGGAGTGGGAACTATTCGTCACATTCTCCAAGCCCTTGGCATACCATCAATTGTCCAAGAAGCTTGAGAAGCTTAGCGCCCTGTTTAGAACGGGCCTTGAACCTCCGCTCGCGACACAGTACGAGCGCGTTGATTTCGGTCCGACACTCTTGAGAGCCTGAGCCACTTGAGCTCATAATAATCAGTGACTCTAGTGCACAGCCCAGCCTACAGAACTTTCTGTG